GCATCGAAGCATCGACCTAGCGCGTAGCCTTCGCTACCGCGGCCGCTCCAACGGTCTACGCGCGCTCTGATTGGTCATTGTTTTCCATTAATATCTCCTTAACGAAGCCTCATCCGACATTTTTGCAAAGGAAATTCTTGCTCAGAATCGTCTCAGCTACCCCCCATTTCCGGCTCCTCCCCGACTTTTGGGACACCCTGTATATGAGCCACTGCTACGTGTGTTCTGAGATAAAAATAAGAATAAGAATATAATACACGTGTCGGTACGCTGCGTGTTTTCAGGTAAATACTAAATTGAAGAAAAATGAAGATTGTAAATAACATAGTGTATGGCCCAGCTGCGAGAAAGGTACCCAACATTTCGGTTCAGCAATATGTACTCGACAGTCTTCGTACCGAAAGCGATAGAGTGATGCAGGTGAGCTTATAATTTCACGTTCCCAAGTGTCTAAGAAAATAATAAATAAATATCATACTCGTGGTGATTTATGCAACGTTAAAATTCTGTTCGGATTCGATTTCCTCGACACCCAATCATCGGAATAAATTCCCTAATTCATAAAGAACCAGCCCTCTATCATTTTCTTTCCTCCAAGCACTATTATACCGATATTTTAGGAAGATATCCAGACTGGCAAATGTCTCACGCGTAGAGATATTCTTGAATCCAGCGTGGCTCTGGCCGAAGCATTAAAAACGAATGGGATCGGCAACGGAGACAGAATCACCATCATCAGCGAAAATCATCCCAACTTCGTGATTGCAATGTGTTCAATTTTTTACGTCGGAGGAGTTCACGCGCCCCTGAATCCCTTATACACAGAAAGTGAGTAGAAAACGACTCGAAATTAATTGTTCGTTTGCCACTAGACGTCAGATGACGTTCAACGAATGTTTTGGAAACCATCGTTTATAGCTTTTTCTAATATTATTAGAATAGACTAGTATAGAGGCTTTATGTCCTTGACACAGGGGAATACGCACACATGCTGAACATCCTGCAGCCCCGGGTAATATTCGTCTCCGAAAAGTGCGAGGTGCTGATCGGAAAAATTGTTTCGACCCTAAGCTGGAAGGTTTCGTTGATACAATTGGACGACAAAGCTCTGACGGAGAACGCGGCAACGTTGAAGGAGCTCGTGGAGAGGCACAAGGGCAGAGTAGATCCTTACACGTTCGTCCCAGCGCCGGTAAACGACACCAGCAAGGCAATGGCAGCCATTTTTGGTTCCAGTGGGACAACTGGTTTCCCAAAAGGCGTTACGTTGTCCCATCGAAACCTGCTCACCTTCGTTCACAATGTCAGGTAAGTACAACTATGTAAACAAGACCAATTTCGCTCAAGTTGGAGTACAAACGAACTCGGATTTAGTTTGTCAGAAAGTCTCCTTCGAAAGCTTCTTTCGAGGCAGCAAAGACCGTCGAAGGGTCGTTCGAGTCGTTTCGAGTTTACTCTCCTTCAAACTTCACCAAGACCTTTCTTCGAAGTCTTTTGAGATAACTCGATGTGATTGCAGAGAACCAAATTACTTGGACATCCAAGGAGGCGATCGAGTACTGATCTTCCTGCCACTGTTTCACGGGTACGCGTTTGGCATGGTGCTCGCATCGTTGTACTCTGGCGCCATCACCGTCATAATGCGTTCCTTCAAGATCGAGCCTTTTCTACGAACGATAGAAGATTATAAAATCACCCATTTGCCACTGGTTCCACCCATTCTGGTGTTACTGGCGAAACATCCAACCGTGCCCAGCTACGACTTCAGCAGCGTCAAGGTTACGATATGTGGAGCAGCCCCTTACCCCAAAGACGTGAGTGTTTCATTGAAACTAACGCATTCGAAAAACGCCGTTTCGTTTCGTTTTCTGCAACACTTGCGACCATTCCGGTAGGTTGGCGATGCGATGAAGAGACGTACAAAAATCAAGCACATCCAAAACGGCTACGGCATGACCGAATTGTCCATCATCACTCACCTGGGCGACGTAACACGGCCGGATGGAAACTTGGCCACCTTGTTCCCAGGACTTCTGTGCAAAGTGGTGGACCCAGAAACGAACCAAACGCTTCGTATAGGAGAAACAGGAGAGGTGTGCGTGGCAGGTGACCACGTGATGCTGGGATACTTCAAGAACCCTTCGGTCACCGACCAGACCATCGACAAGGAGAAATGGCTCCACACGGGTGATCTTGGTTACTTTAATCCGGATGGAACGTTGGAGATCGCAGGCCGACTAAAGGAGCTGATCAAGTACAAGGGCTACCAAGTGGCTCCGTCCGAGATCGAGGACGTTATACAGTCGTACCCTGGCGTCAAAGACGCGGCGGTTATCGGCAAGCCTGACGAAGAAAGCGGGGAGGTACCTATGGCATTCGTGGTCAGATTGCCAAACGGCAAGGTCACAGCGCAGGAAATCTTGGATTATACAAACGGTAGGTTCTCTCAATGAAATTGGAATGGTATTACACGGAGTAGTTGGTTAACTTTTGTTTGTTTATCTTTGTAGAGCATTTGTCACCCCAAAAGCGGCTCAGAGGAGGCATTGTGTTCGTCGAGGAGATACCAAAGACTCCATCTGGGAAAATCCTACGACGGGAGCTGTTGAAACTGATCTCGAAATTATAAATAGATATCTCGTCCTTCTTTTTCTTTCGAATAATGCAATATTAAAAAGAAACTATCGTACCCGCAAAACCAGACGAATCTCACCTAACGTTTTCCGGAACCCCGAAAATTAGCTCTAAAAAGAGAGGCGATACAGAACTCTTGTAATCCGCATCGCAACGAAACCGTTAAATCACAACGAGTCTGTCTGCGTAAGCATCGTCTCGACCCGATGGTCGCTGCACGCACGAAACAAATTTCCTGTAAATTTTCTCGCGTGAAAAATTTTGCGTAAATTCTTCTTGGCAGACGAATCGAATCCGTTGACGGTTGATTTACGATCCACCTTGTACATGAAACAGTCCTGTGAGCGTATACGTATCTATCATCGGTTATATATGTACGCGTCTATGGCCGGTGTTCCTGTTAATTTCATTACGACGATCACCCTGACAAATCTAATTGACGCGCATCAATTATTTGCCGGACAAAGGCCGCCTAACTCCCTTTCCAGTTGCCAGCCAGCATGGTTTCCGGATAATTTCATTTTTCACGGAAACCTTCTACCGTTGGAATTTCCCAGAACGTCATGGAGTTGTCCACGGCCGCTCTGTCTAATTTCCCCGATGAATAGATGGCTCTGCAACCCTAAACGCGCCGAACAAAATTCGTAGGCGAACTAGTTTATTAAGAAATTCCATTGCCCGTTTTATTTCATTTTCTCGTTTCCAGTTGAAATTGTTGAATGTTCGTTTAGGAAATAAGTACATAGAGTTTTAAAACCAAGTATATGTTTAAAAGTATAAACTGTAATTTACAAAACGGAATATGTTCGATACGATGTTCTTCGTTCGGAGGTTTTCTGCTAACCAACCGCCGAGAGTCGGAACAACTATAAACGGTCAGGGGGTGCAATAAACCGCAACTACAGAAACCGTTTCAAAATTACCAGGCGCGTGGTGCTTACTCTCGAGAGAAACGTTCAAAGAAGCCAAACAAGAATGATCAACGCGTACGCGTGTACTTACTATGGCGACGTATTAGCAGAAAATCTCTCGATCGAATGAAAATTCCATGAAAAATTTTGTAGCATGATTCAAAGGCTTACAGTGTTCGCAACAGACACACCGCGATTCCCAAGATGGCCCTCTTGGAAATGAAAGTGGCATTTATCGGATGATCGTTCGTTATCGTCGATAAATCGGTTTACCACGGAGCCAGCGATTCCTCCTTTCGCGCATCCCGGAACACGTAGCTGCCAGTGGATGGCAGCGATCGATTGATTCGGTTGGCCAAACTTCCCGGTGGCCTGCGACCGGAAGAGCAGAAAACGGCCAGAAACGATGCAGTCGGTCGCAGTCGGGGCGATAGAATAGCGAGGCATCGGCATAACGCGCATAATAACGCGCGCTCGAGGCCTTCGCAAAATGAGATACGATGGAAGCGAAACAGAGTCGAGCAGATAGAGAGGAACGGATAGAGGTTGGCGAACGGAGGGCGAGGGAGTGCCTATCACTCGGGGAGATCCAATACAATGCGAACTATTGTACCCACGTTCGCCATCCACTCCAATTCCTAGGCTGGAGATATGCAGCTAGCTCGATCCTGCACTTGCTGCTCATCGCGCGTACATGCCCTGCAACGATCCACGCGGTGTGTCTGTGACGCAAACAAGGGAACGACTTCAAACGGAGACAAGGAAAAGAGAAAAGGGAAAAGAGAAAAGGGATTATTCGAGGTTGCGCGTTGCCAAACGAGTCACTCTGAACCCTTACCGGTGCAGGCTAAATGTAGATGGAAAAATAAAAGGGGAGGATTCTTCCAAGGTCGTGGTTAATCCTCCCAGAGTCACCCGACCGGCTGATCAACGTGTCTTCTTGTTGCGTCAAGAGATTGGCTTACAATTTCCTTCTGCGTAATTCTTTCGAATCGCTTCTGTTACATAGAAACAAATGGTACACCTTCGAACGAACATTCCATCCCGCGAGAAATTATTTGTACGATCTGTGTATTTTGATTAGCAAAAATATCGGATCAGGATACTACAGCTCAGCTGCGAATCCCTCGCCTGATACAAGCGCACAAATCTCGCGATGCGTTTTCGAATCGGTAAGCTGGCTCATTGACGATCTAATTAAACCCGCCCCTATCAACCGAAATTCCGAGCGTTCCACGCGTAATTGGTTTAATCATTCACGAGCCTGCGGGACGCTTAACCCTGAACGAATCTTTCGAGTAGCGTCCACGTCCTCGAATATAAATATCCCACGATTACGTTCGTGTCGTTGGTGAATATTCATTCGTTTCGGGAGCAGGCCAGGATCGTGTCTGGTCTTAAACCGTCTTAAACTCTGATTAATTGTACAATCTTTCCTCGAATCTTCCCCTAGCCGCGAGTTCCACGCTATTTTCGCTCCGCGAGCTGCGCGGTTGGAAACGAGTGTTAAGAATGATAAAGTTGTTGGGGTGTCTCGATTAGGGGAGGGGAAGTCAAAGTGGAAACGCGACGCAAAGGCAGAAAACGAAGTAGACGGATGATGAAAGCTAAAATAGAAGGGAAAAGGGAAATGGGAAAGGGGTGAAGAGAGGTCCGGAAGGGGACCAGGCGTTTACGTGCGGCAGACATCCGATGATGCATAGTTGCTGTTGACATGTCGGAACGTCAGGCTCACATGACCTCTCGAGTACAGCCATTATCCGCAAAGCGATCCCCCGAATTGGGACAATAACTGCTTCATGGAGTCGTGTAATAATTATTGGCCGGTACCGCGTAACCACCCCCAACCCCCTGGTTATCATCGCGAGCATTTTGCCGCATTAACTGGCTAATAATGGCTGGACGGCTGGCAGCGAGCCTCTCCATCGCACCACTCGAACCAGAAAGAGTACGGTGCGGCTGGCAAAGTTGCTGTGACGAATGGGAATGTTTGGCAAATTTCGTCAGGGGCTTGGGCCGCTCTTGTTCGGTTCATTCGGAGCGAGCCTCCTCTTTGTTAACGCTACGTGAATTTTCCCGGGAAAATTTCGAACGATATCGTCGATTCCTAGACGGAGGATTTTGTTGATGCTCCAGCATTTTAGGCTTTTGTTTCCGCGCTTTAACGAGGAAAACTCTTTGGCGCTTTGTCGAGCGTGCATGTGTGCGACGAAAACGAATCCCTGGGAGCGCATCTGGGAATGCGGGAAGTTTAGTAAAATGGTAAACTCGATGCCCCCTGGTTAACAGAACCAAGGAAAATACGAGAGGATTCAGAGGGAGAGGGAAGGCGAGGCTCGGAAGCTGCTTATGCTGGAGAAAGTAAAATAGAGTTGTGCGAGTTTCAGAAGGGGTAGATCCAGGTGGACAGAGGGGGTAGAACAAAGGGAAGTGGAAAACGCAGGGCACGGGACGAACCAGGAATTGTGGGAGGGTGTGGGAAGACCGGTAGAGAAGCACATGTATGTGTGATGCAACTTGACACTGTTGGTCTCTAATGTGTATAAATTTATTTGTTTCCCTAAGCAAACTAACGATGTATAAACTAGTAAAATATATACGTTTTATTGTACTTATAGTCTTTACTTTAATACTTTATATGCGGTTTATATTTGTATCAAAATGTAACACTTGTAGCAACAAGACTATTCTGTAACAACCATTTACTTCAGTTATCCACTATGCTTTCGTTACTTGTTCTGTATTCGAGTTCAATTTTCCCGCCAGAAATTGGTATCGCCATCTAGCGGCCAACGTACCGAACTATTCACGGAGTCTGATCAGCGCCTCTATCGGGAAAACGCTCAAGTTTCTCCTCGATAGTTTCTTTTTCCGCCGCTAGATGGCGTAGTTTTACCCTGTATCGTGGTGGACGCACTTATCATCGTCGATAAGAAGATTTAGGAAGACCGTCGATAAAGAAGAACCAACCGTTGACTCGATGATACTCGATGTTATTCATTTGTTTGTCTTTTAGTGTTAATCAACTCCATGAATTCAAATTGTTGATCTTAATTTATTGTTTTTGTTCAAATAAATCATCTTGTCCATATTTACCATACTATGGTAATCTATCGACACGTGTCGGTAAAAAAAAACAATACAAATGGCGCCATCTAGCGGAGAAAAGAGAAACTATCGAGGACAAACTTGAGCGTTTTCCCGATAGAGGCGCTGATCAGACTCCGTGAATAGTTCGGTACGTTGGCCGCTAGATGGCTACTCATTTGAGCGAAAATAGCGGGAAAATACCGACAAGTTTCAAAGTTTCAAAGGGCAGGCTAGTCAAGTATAAATAAAAACAGTAAATGTAAGGTGTATACAAAGCTACAAAAAAGTAATACTACTACAATTCCATGTAAAATCAGATGCAACCAATGTAAATATATTTGTTTCCACGCTACTACACTACTACAATTCTGTACAAAATAAGGTGTAACCAAGAAACAGGATAATAGAAATCAATGAAAGCATCGATCAAACGTCAGAAATAAAAAAGAAATTGATCTTGGACGTTATCTGAGATTTTCTATTTAAATTAGTCATATGCGAGATCGTTCGAAAGGGAATCGATACTCGAATGACGTTTATCAGTTAAATAGAGTTACCGAATACAATAAGATGATGATATACGAGATTCTCTCCAAGAGAGATAACAGTTATCGTTACGTTGATAATTACATTGATGTCCTCGTGTTTGACAGTTGATTGTTTGTGCATCGCCATGGGAAACGTGTGGTCGAAAAACAATATTCTTAACGAGGAATCGGTTCAGACTTATGCTGAATTGACATACTTGACGAAAAACCAGATACAATAGTGAGCAATACAATTAAACAATTCCAAACACTCCTTCGAATACAACTCAATAATAATTCAATTAATTCTCATCAATTTCATCTTCAAAGCTCATTGTTTTTTCAGTATCGCCAAGCTGCTCGATAGCATAGAGCCAGGGATACTTTGCGAGGATCTTCAACATCGTTTCTCTACAGACCAAATCGAGACGGTGTTCCCAGAAATTCGAGTAAGTCGAGTATCGTTTTAATTGTTACGTTCAACGAACATTTTCATTATTATTTTTGCTCGCCACTCGTAGTAAGCAGCGAGTAGTGATTATGGAATTGCTTTCAGTGCAGTCCATTTCGCGACTCGATATATCGAGTTTTCTCCTCCAAAAATGATCGACACCTGTCCCTCGAAGACGTTTTGGACCTGTGCTCAGCTTTCTCTGAAAATGCCGACGACGACACTCGTGCTGCCTGGGCATTTTCTATTTTCGGTAATAATCTCGTAGCATTTCCAACTGCAACGATAAAAAAGCATTTATTATCAAGGCTAATTATTAACATGAATTTTTAATTTTTTTTCTTCTTGTAAAACGACACTCTTTCAAGGCGACTAAACTCGAACGTAAACTTGAATATATTTTTCTCTGTCTCCAGACTTTGATGGCGATAATCAAATTTCAATCGACGATTTAATCGAGGCTACGCAAAGACTAACAAGGAATGATCAGGATGATCCTGCAGTCATCGATAGAGAGGAGGCTGAACATGTCGCACGAATGGTAAGTGCTCGATAATATTTATGAATGCAACAGTCACAGACACTGTTTCGATCGGATCATTCGATACAATAGAATCACTGGAAATTATCGCCTCGATTGATTAGCTTTAACCAGTGGCAACCGTACAAGAGATAACGATTCCCATCGCATAAAACACATCGCTAATAGTCATTTAATATTATTTCAAAATTTAACCCTGTCACCAAAATATTTACTACTAACAACTATATCGTAATACTAATTTTATTTTTCCAATAATTAGGTGCTTCAAGAAATGGTCTTCACTCAAATAGGAAGCATATCATCCGAGGAATTCATACGTTTCGTTTCGAGGATCCCAGAATTTTTGTCCACGTTTCGTTTCCGAATTTAATTGCACTCGTGAGAGAACCATCGCAACAACTATTTCTTATACTCTATATTTATAATATCGTACTCGTGTCCAAATCTATTTAATCTCCAGGCCGATGTTCCGCAGTTCCCTAACAAACAAATGCAGGAAATGCGTTTGCTGACGATTACGTCGTCAATAATACCGTCCATCGCGTGAGAAATAGTTGCTAAGCGAGTCAGCAATGCCGTTACGTTCGTTCCTGTATCGTATCATTCATTCGACGAACCCCGAGGTCTCGCAATCAGTGAATAGCTCAACGATGACCTAAACTGCGTCGTGAGTCATACGACCATCACCTTGTCCTTATTTAACGCCGATCTCATACAGCGGCGGTCGACGAACGTTTGTCGCCACTCTCCATTCTTCACCATTCTTCTCGCATCGCTTATGCCAACTTGCGCACTTTGTTTCCACGTCACAGTCGAGAGTATACCAGAGTATACCTCTTGGCCCCCACCAGGGGACTTCTTTCCTCTTGTTTATATAATTCGTACCGTGATTCTGCGACCAGTATAAACTTCTATCATTCGTCTGGCTTTTATTTCTTGTTTCTAAGGCTAGCAAGTAATTTACTTATAATTAGATAGTGATATAGTGGAAGGTGCTTTGGTTCAGTGGTTCGGTGTAGTGAAAAGGTAAGGAATAATGGCACTGAATTGTTTATCAAGTATGTATGCCTTTAATACTCTTTGGAAAGAAAGAATATGGAATCTTAATCCTTTGCTATTCCAAGTGTAATTGGATCACTCGGATGTAGTCTTAATATATTTCCATTAAACCATGTTGATTTAGTTATTCGTTATGTATCTGGATTTTTATATCCTTTGGGAATCTTTGAGGTACAAGTTCTTTGTGTGTTGGTAGACTCCTGTGTACATTGAATCATTAGGCTAAAACAGAACACGAGATGTTAATGCTTTATACTTCCAAGTCTGACTAGATTATTCAGATACTTATTCTTAGAGACATTCTAGTATATTTCCATTGAACCATGTTAATTTATGTGTACTTACATGTGGTCGATAGACTTTGAAGTGTATAGCCTAATGAATTGCCATGATGTTTCCATTGCTCAGGAATCTGAGAAAAGAACCAAGTTAATTAAAGGAAAGAAATAATCGACGTTTTTCTTTGGTATATTGTAGATACAAAATGATCTACTTATGTGTATCAGAGGACTTTTATCTCCTGTCACAATATTGATAGACTTTCTGCTTTTCCTAATTCATTTACAGTGTTGAGGTGGCAGTTAATCTTTATTACACTTTCAAGATATCAATGTTTCATATAAATGTTGGTGCAAGTATATTTCATTATTCAAAAATTAAAGCCCCCAAGCTTTCCCTACTACATGTATTCTTCTATAAACAAATAAATTACGTATAGATCACCAACAACGTTCAAGGACTGATTTTCTTCCTATTCTGATTGCTATTAAACAATTATCAACAAATCCTTGTGCCAGAACACGTTTACGACATCGTTAATATTCGCCTCATTTGATTATTTATTAACTTATCAAAGATAATTGACGAATTCTTACACATCCGATATAAAATATGGATCATTAGCAACCACCAAGGACCTGTATCCTTCCGATTGTCATTATTAGTCAATTGTTATTAACGTTTTCTTAATGGTCGGTATATGTCAAAATTTAAATTTGCCACCAGTGGCGCCAGCCTGCGGAGTGTCGCCAAAAGCTCCGGATACTAGGATCACAGAATCGGCAAAGAGCTCTTCGCTTGTCGATCGCTTATTATTGCTCTAGTGTTGTTAATAACTATTCGAGCAACCTGTAATTTACATGAGACCTTGCTGAAGGTTCAAACTTTAAGCGCCATGTGCTCCAATTTCCCCAGCCGGTCGTAATTAATTTGTAATTAATCCCTGAATGTTTGACCCCTCTGTTTGACTTTCTCTCTCGCTCAGTTTCAAGCGTATACCTCCTGAGCTGTTCCAATACTTATCCGGAGCTTCGGCGGCAGTCCGCTAGATGGCGCCACTGGTGGGAAATTTAAATTTGACATATACAAACTATTAAAAAAACGTTAATAACTGGGTAATAATAATGACAATCATAAGGAAACCGGTCCTTGAAGCTTGCTAATGATCCATACTTTATACTGTGTGCGTCGAAATGCATCAATAATCTGTGGTAAGTCAATAAATGATTAAATAAAGCGATGAACGTGTATGAGACGAGTGCTGACAATGTTTTGAATGTTTTGTAGGGTATGTATGATCGCCACGCCTTAAAGGTAATTAATTACAGTCGCAAAATCGTGTACGCTACGCTTGCTGTGCTCAGGAACGCGCAAATATATAATCGCATACTCTGTCGCGTTGTCGAACATTTCCTATACCATTCACGTAAGTATACACATTGGCCAGACTCGATTCTCCCACCAAAGAATGTCCATGACGATATTCAGACAGCCAGTTCTCCCTGGTTCTCCCAGTTTCCTTTAGTCAGTCGCGAACAGCGAAGAACGCGTAGAATCCAGCAGAGGATTGAACAAGATCTACTATTACTTCAGACAAGGTAGAAGCCACACCCTGGACAGTTTCTTCTTCGTTACCAATCAATACAAACTTTGGAATCGCTATACAGCATCTTGGCAGGCTTCCTGGTATTGATACTTTATTCTAAAACTGTTCAACCGTTGTTTTTCGACGTATTATAGCGCTAGACGATGAGATCATTGCTGGTTTAACGGTACCAAAGCCTGATACGAAATCAGCAGTCTATAAGGCATTATAATTCATCTTTATCGTTCAATTCTAATCTCCCAGGTTCTGAATATCGTTTCCTTTTAATATCAATTTTATTACACATTTCTATATAATTCAAATAAATAATTCATTGCAAATCAATTTCTCTTTTAGTAACCATAAAGTTGGACGTATCCTGAATACAAATTTATTTTGTATGATCTCGAGCTGTTGTAGCGTAAATTTGAACATTTTAACCCTTTCGTTTCGATCGCAGGATATACCCGACACTCTGGCGGAACCGCCGGCGCCGTTAGCGAAAGGGTGAAGGGTTGAAAGCTTTGACCTAAATAGCGAGAGTTTGAAATTATATTACCAGGAGCGTCACTGGTTCGATCGCGATGGATCGTGACCTTGAAAGTTGTGACGTCATGACGGCGGAAGATAAAGAAATTCAAACATTATCACTTTAGTCAGAGAAAACGAATATAATTATAATAGAATAGAATTATTTAAATACTTTATTGTTTAACGTAATACTTATTTTTCAGCCCTTTTGAAGATGTCTGCCAGCCAGTACTATCACGTGCAGGTAATCATCATTTTTTTTTTGTTCAGTCTTATGCGTTTGTTTTACTTACATACTCTGCTACTAGGAATAATTAAAATTGATGTTCTGCATAGGCGGTGTGTGCAGAATAAATAAAAAAGTATGACGCAATTTCACAATGACTCATTCCAACCGTGTATATATTACATGATTTAATTCCATGAACAAGATGAAACATATTCATTAAATAATACGTTTATTCCAGAATCAGTAATTTACATAAAGAGTTTCCCAAGCACGATTCAGTATCACTTCTTACTGGAACTTTTTATTGTACACAATTTTTCACAGTGAAAGTAGTATATAAATTATTAAAGTAATCTAGATTTTGATAAATATATAAGATTTAAAGCATTAAATCTAATATATAATATATTTAATATGATACATGTTTGCTTTAGTGCACACCAACAGTGTACCCTGCAGATCCCTTCAACCCAGAGGAAGATGCAGCCCTCCTTAGAACCGCCATGAAGGGCTTTGGCACAGACGAACAGACTATTATCGACGTCCTCGCCCATCGTGGCATCGTTCAGCGTCTCGAGATAGCAGATAAATTCAAGACAATGTATGGAAAGGACTTAATCTCTGAATTAAAATCAGAACTGGGTGGCAATTTCGAGAATGCCATCTTGGCATTAATGACGCCCTTGCCAGAATTCTATGCCAAAGAGCTTCATAAAGCAATTTCTGGAATGGGCACGGACGAAGGTGCCCTGATTGAGGTGCTAGCGTCGCTTAGTAACTACGGAGTTAAGACCATATCTGCTGTTTACAAAGATTGTAAGCGTACTTGTCCATTTCATGTTAGAGTTATTCATGTATAATCCCATTTGGATAGATTCTAAACTTGCATTCTTTAATATTTATTCGCAGTGTATGGAAATGAGCTGGAGGATGATCTGAAGAGCGATACTTCTGGCCATTTTAAGAGGCTACTGGTCTCTCTTTGCTGTGTAAGCAACTTTTAATGTAGCTATCGTAATAATGGATACTATTTGGATAACTTGTTTGATGTACTTGGATGTACTAGTTAATTATTAATGGTTCTTTGCATTATGTTCAAAGGCCAACAGAAACGAGAACTCAGACGTCGACGAAGAAGCTGCAATAGCTGACGCTGAGAAACTCCTAGAAGCTGGCGAAGGCCAATGGGGAACAGACGAGAGTACATTCAATGCTATCCTCATTACTAAAAGCTTCCCTCAATTGAGAAAGATTTTCAAAGAGTACGAACGTCTCTCTGGGAACAGTCTCGAGGACGCCATCAGAAGAGAATTCTCAGGATCCCTCGAAGATGGTTATCTTGCAGTGGGTAAGGAATATTAATATCATACTTGAAATAAGTACGATCTCCACGAGTGATCAATATCTAATAGTTATTGTATTATTTTTTTTATTTAGTGAAATGTACCCGCGACAAGACTGGCTACTTCGCGGAGCGCCTATACAAAGCAATGCGTGGCCTAGGCACTGACGACACAACCTTAATTCGCATAATCGTAGCACGATCAGAGATCGATCTAGGAGACATCAAAGACACCTATCAAAGAATCTATGGCCAGTCCCTCGCAGGCGACATCGACGTAAGTTGATGCGCATTCAATTCTTCCATTTAATTAACTATGCACACTTACCTTAATTGCCTACACAATCTGTATTTAACTTTTATCGTACCATACCTTGGCTGTCCATGATTTTCCATGAATTTCAGGATGACTGCTCGGGGGACTACAAGAGGCTCTTGCTTGCCTTACTTGGATGAACTCATTTTATGTTCGACAGCCTCTTTTTTTTTCGTATCACACTTTAATACTAGGGATAATTATTTAAGATAAGCTTTGTAGACGATTAAAATTATTTCACTGTTTTAAATTAGAGCGATACTTGGTGATTACGGTATTGCATTTTTTCTTTCGTCGACAGATCTGCAAAAATTAGTCTCTGTGAGACCGAACGAGTAATAAATGATATTAATCACTCTTTTTGTTGTTATTAAAAATGACATGTTGAAATATTAATCAATGATTAATTCGCGAACCAACCAACTAATTCTACATTCTACTAATTAAGAATCTCTTCAATGTGCGTGCATGCGTGTATCCTGACATTTATATACATAAATACAATAATATTTACTCTATTTCACATTAACATCGCTTTAATTTTTCCCACGATTCTGCTTGCATTTCCAGAGTGACTGCAGCGAAGAATTTAAGCGGCTTCTGATCGCACTTTTGAATTAATGAGTCATGGAAGGGAACGCGTATATTTTATTTAAGAACGCCAAAACACGGGAATCTCTAACATAAATGTTGATAATACCCATTCCACTCTGTTGTACCATCTATAATTGTTTATAATAAAGCTGCACGTGTACAGCGAGCTATCCGTTTGTTTTAAAGCGTAAAACAAAAACACCTGTGTCTTCTTTGCTTCCAGAGCGATTGTACCGCTGAGTGGAAACGCCTCCTGATCGCGATGCTGAATTAAGAAAACGTTTCAGCGTTGTTGTAATTAAAATTCGTCCAGATAAATACTCGAATGTTTACCAAAGCTCTATATAAAGCAGCACTAGGAAGATTATCGTTGTTCGAGGTTTGAATTATATTAGAAAGATTGAGCTAAACAAACAAAGTTAGAGAATATTGAAATCGAGAAATTTTTGGAGCTTCGCGAATGTGAATAATTGTTAAATGTGATTGAAATGTATACATTCCTCTTGTTTTAAATATAGTCGATAGTTTGCATTCCATAAATATACATTGTTATACATATATTATTTTATATTAGAGTTGTAGCTACAAAATTTTTTATGTGAAATTAAACCTAGTCTGTGATGGCATGTGCAAAACGATATTTGTTATTATACATCAAATATATTTAAAGCATTATATGACATTATGTAATTGTTATTTTAATCAAATTAACGATTACCTCATCTATAATAATTACAAATACATTTGGTATGATTTTCATTGAAATTAAAGAGAGGGGCGTGTAAAAAAAAAATGCAAATTTTATTATTTCATGTTTTTTCAAAGTCTTTTTATTTGTCTTTCCATCGAATAAACATAAATACATATGTTATTTATACTTATTTGTCACTGATTCAAAGGTATCGAACTATAACCATTCGTTGCGTTTAAAAATATCCCATGGGGCCAATGTGCGTATAAAAATACTTTCGATACGCATATAATACAGCATATTAGGAGAATATTGTAGTAACAAAAAGATTGATCGTTAACATTTCAAGAAACCAGAAAGTATCGTAAAGAAATATCTTTATCGATCCTTCGTGTACTTGCTGATTAACTGAATTCAAGTTTTTGATTCTCCTCTACTGAGACTAGTCAATTAGTATCCTCACCGTTTCCTCCTTATCGGTATAACAATGCAATAACAATGTACAAATTCTCCATACTGAATGTGTGGAGTCTTAGAAAAAATAAAATAATAAAATTTGTACTGCTGCCTTACCATAAGAGAACAATATTACAACTTTTAATTAATATATAAAACGTTCTGCACTTGAAACAATAATTTTCTAAATTCTGTCAACAAAAGTATTTTACAATAGTAACCCTAACAAATACTGGATACTTATTACTACACATTCCGAGTAGTCAAACTTACATGTATACAAGTTCGTTTTGTATAAAGGAATTTTTATTGCAAAATAATCGTAACTATCATCAATAAAAATAATAATTTTCACTAGGAAATTTCTTTGCTAACTTGGTCCTTATCTCCTTGCACCTCCTCTTTCAAAATAGTCTCGTTCAAGCAAACGTTATTCAAGCTAATCGCGCTATTGGAAAACATTGCAGTGGCTAAATTTGGTTTCTTCTCGTCGATATTAGTCAAAGATGTTGTCGTGTCGTCGGAATCCTTGGAATGCGACGAAATCAAATCGCACGCCGTACCAAGAATCACCACGCTATTTAAAATTCTTAACGCTACTAAAATTAGGTATGCTAGAAGCAACAAAATTATGTTTGCTGGCTTCACTGGCGGTGTGACGGTGGTGCAAAGCACTTTTCCTATTGCAACACCCAAGGGGAGAGGAATGAAACCCATCCTGCGGGCGACCAAGTCCGAGGGGTCCGAGAAAGCGGTTTCTTGGCGAGTTTGGGCCATGTCGTACGCCAGACTGATAGTATAGTCTGTGTAGACTGTGGAACGAAGCTCGTTGAAACGAGTTATGAACGCATGTTTCACCTGCAACAGATAAAACGGGAGGATTAATCAAATTTAAACAGTTACTCGATTCCCTATGGATCAGTACACTTGGTATATTTGATTACCTACCCAGTCTACAAGCATTTCAGCGAACAACAAGATTATACAGTCTGGCAAGAGTACTGCGAGTCGTTCAGCTTTCCATGCGTACTCTTTCATCGTCTGCAGATTTACAGCCAGAAGAAGCATCATTAAGTGGAAACGTTCCCTCACGTCCGCGCATGATAGTTGAAAGAGATTGTTTTTGTCGAATTTCTTAAAGACGGAGCCTTTCAACTCAACGAACTGAAACATAAGTTTACATTGAATTACTCTGCTTGTGATAAATGAAAAGATATACTTTTTTAATAAGAACACATGAATTCAAGCATTTACTTACGTTATTAGACATCATTATAGTAAGTAAAGCTTTATTACTACTGTTTATCGCGACGTTCAAAGTGGTTGCTTGGAAAAGTACCAATATGCTGTGCAATACTTCAAAAATAAGCAACATGTAGGAAAATATATCCATTAATATTAAAATATTTCTTTTCTAGGCATATTTGCATTAATTAAAGGATACGAACATAAGCAACAGCGAACAGCAAATGTGGCAAGGTACCCAAATTCTGAGATCCTGCTTGTGTCTTGGATCTAGGTTCTGTTGCAGTCCACAAAAGGGCATCTATAGTGTCTTGACCAAAAGCACTGAACAGTCTGTCGCCAACTTCCAGCATGTTATAAAATATGTACAGTTTTATTACAGATTGGCTCTTTACCAAGTGGTACATCATAGAAGTATCAACCTTCCACGTGGCCGCCCAACAGCTGATCACTAAAATTCCCTTCAAGAGATCACAGATCTCTGCTGGTCTCAAGTGCCTCTCTCCGATTTTTAAGGTTTCCCTCTTTCTAGATTATAAATTAATATTATACGAGATGTATTATACAAAAAGTTTCTGAAAATTCTATTTGAAATTTTACCCTAAACAGTGCCAGAGATATCTTGTAACTATTGCCCATAATGCCATAATGAATCTTAATGGTAAAAATGTATAAACAAAGAGAAAGGAGTCTGCACACTGTAAAACAAAATTACGTTTGTGTTAATTTTATTTATACATTTAATAGAGAAAAATATTTTAGGACTCTTCTTACTTGTAGGAAGCCATAAATCATGAACTTTTCCAATTCTCTTGGAATTTTGATAAAAGAATAAATCTTCTCCCTCCTTGCAGAGAATCTCTCTTCGTCATATTCTAATTGGTATCCTCTGGTTAACTCTGTTCGTAGAAATTTAGTCAGGGACACACCTACAATCAGGATAAGACATAATTGTATTGGTTGGTGCTTGAATAATAATAATAATAATTATATGACTTGAATGAAAAATCAAAAGCCAAGATTTTTAGGTAAAATAATGCTTCATGGGGATAGTCTCAAGTTCTTACTTATTTTTAAATATTACAAAATTTGCTGCAATCAGAAATTTATCAAAAGAAGATAACTCTAACTTATATCTTTTAGCAGACTTTGCAAAGTCATTGCTGTCACATATTGTTGTCATATGATAATCAATTCCATATTGTGGGTATATAATCACTGAACAAATATCAATTAAACAAACAATTACCTTGCCTCTTCTCCTCATGTGTCCCAACGTTTAACTGGCTCTTCACATCGTCAATTTTATTTCTTTGCACATCAAACGATTCTGCAGGTTTGAATCTTATGTATTTCTTGTCGCCGTAATTTTGACAATTTTCATCAAAATTCATTGTTTAGTTTCCACTCATTCCTTTCTTTGCTGCTGAATAACCTCAATTTATCGTGTCAGGAATACCAATTATATCTTTAATGTTCAGTATTGGAATACTTGGTACTATTGTAATTTTCTTTTTCATTAACACTTGCAGCAGTTTAATTACATACACGTTTAAATCATGTCCACCATTAATCGTTATATAAACTAAAATCTTTAGAAAAATAAACCGATTCAATTTTGCCTGGCAGGGTCAAATATGAATTAGATGTACTGCTATCGATAAATGTCGATAATTTGCCATTTTAATCACCGCCATCCGTGGCGAAATGCTCAAGTTTGTTGTGGATATAGTTCCCATTGTTGTCGCTAGATAGCGACACTTTGTAAAGGATTGGGGGTTATACATATTTATCAATTTTTACATGTATAGTTCTTTGCACATGTTTCATACTTCACATCGATAATTGTTTGTAATTGGCTATTGCGTTTGAACGTAGCGGATTTAAATTACGTTTTGAATATTTATATACATTCATTATGTCTTCTAGACATAAGAAAAAAGTGGGTATCATATCAAGAGAGACATCTTTTCGAGGATTTCAATGATCCAGCTACGCAACAAGCCACCATTTTGAAATAAAGACGGCCCAGAATGGTACAGCATCGTTTGATTAAGTAGAATGAAAATGTGCCTTGAACATCGTAATTAACATTGAAGAAGGAGTATAAAAGAATCAGCAAAGAAGTATCGAAGTTGCGAACGCTGATTCAAGCGTTCGCAATTCTAAAACGTTACGATAAGTTAGATACGCGTGCGTCGTGATGCCTACTAACGCCACGTGGATTTATGTCTCCAACTAAAATGCTAAAAACCTTTGAGTATATAGAAAACCTTTATCTATATACTGAAAGCTAAAAACGTGGTTCCATTTCTCCGCATTTGCGTTTGGCCTCCCTGAGTAGAACTGCTAGTTGTGTAATACACAGTAAAAACCTTTGAGTAATACTCAATGAGTAAAACCCATTGAGCTCAATGACTCTCGGCGAAACATCCAAGTTCACAACTTTCAACCCAAAACAAACAAACATTTACAGAAAATACAATTTTTACAATCCCTCTAAAACCTAAAAACCATCAATTCATTAGTATAATAGCTATCCCCATCCTTGTAAACCATCTTGAAAACATAGATAAATCCCTAAAATAAACCGTGACTTGACTCCGCAGTGGAGTGTCAGAGCCGCGTCAGCGAAGAGTGGCGCCCGCCTGGCAGCTATTAATTCCTAATCTGTCCGCCAGGGCGCAATGTTTTGAGTCGCGAGAAATCCTTGATCCGTGCCGTGTACGTTGAGCGTCCGGTTCCACCGATCATCGTCGAGTTGTAACCGTATGTGCTGTCGCCGTCGCTCCATTGCCGTCCCTCATTTCCGTCGTCGGTCCCGCACGCGTTGACACGTCCCTTTCGACCGCCATGGACGTGACCCTGCTGCTTCAGCACTCGCAATATGCGTTGCCCGTCGGTGTCGTGCTCCTCTGCGCTATCCTCGTCTTCGTCTTTGGCTTCAAGAAGGCTGAGCAACCACCGTTTGCACAGCTCTCAGGGGGCTCCGACGTGGACAGGAAATTCGCCAGCAAGAAACGCAGCAAGATCAAAGAAAAGGTTAGCATGTTATTTCTGAATGAATCCATGTATGCCTAACTCCATATGGTTTGATTATGGTAGGAGTATTATATTGTAATCAGCTGGGATCTCTAGTCGAGGAACAGGGTCTTTCTCCACCCCTAAAACGTGGTTCATATATGTCTGTTGCGAAGAGAATATCACCATGAATCCCAAAGTTTTCTCTGATTTTTCTTCTTCTCTTTTTCTCTTTCTACTTTGCATTCTATGTCTCTTGTACTCGAATGCTGAGAAATCAAAATGAATGTGTTAGTATTTTAATAATATGTATTACAGAGGTCTGCCAATGGCCAAGTGGCAACTGAGAAAGCCAGCCCTGTTAAAAAGCCTGTATCCACGAAGGTAGATGTGAAGAAAGCTGCTCCAAAAGCAGAGGATATCGAAGGAAAGTTGAAGGAACAGAAGCAGGAAAATAATAAAGTTTCAGCAACTAAGAAGGAGAAGGATCAGGTTACGGCAAAGGCTGGTAAGGAGAACAAGGTTGAACAGGTGAAGAATAAGAAAAACTTGAAGAACTTGTTCCAAGAGAAACCTGTAGATTTTGATGAAGGCAAGTTTCTATAAGATTCCTTCTAAATATCTAAATATAATAATTGCAGAGTAATGATTATTGTATATTCCAACTCTAGGGGATTGGGAGCAGGCTTATTCCAGAAAGGATAAGAAAAATAAGAAGAAAGAGGAAGAGTCCCCTTCCAAGAAGAATAAGAAGAATGTTAAGAAGTCTGATTTAATTAACGAAGCTGTGGCTAAACAAAAAGACTTAGAGAAGGCTGAAATTAAAGACAAAGTTGCCAAAGACACAGAGAATAAAGAGTTGAAAGAAAAAGAGACTAAAGATATCATTCTTATACCCATCTCTAATAAGGAAATAATTGAAGAAAAAGAACACCGCAAGGAAGAAGAGCAGCTTAAGGTGAGAACATCTATTTATGTACAACTACCTTAAAATATCGTCATTTTAAATTCTTTGCTTGTAGAATTTGTTATCCTAATTCGTATAACTTTTTATTCAAGATTGAAAAGGTAGAGAAAGAAGAAAAAAAAAGTACAAAGTCCAAGAAGGGTAAGAAGGTTTCTGAAAGCGAAAGCACGTCCACCTTGACACCATCTACCCCAAAGGTGGAGAATAAAATTCAAGAACAAAGAGCACAGAAGGACGAAGAAAACGAAAAGGTTCCCGAAGATGTTGAACAGAAAAGTTCCAAAGTGCAAGAAAAAAGTGGTGCTGTGTTTGACGAACTAGGAGGTAATTATCTCTCCATATAAAAACAATTATGAAAAGACGAATTTATAGATCGATAATTTTTAATGTTTTTTCATGTTTTAGATGCCTGGACAGAAGCGAAACCACAAAAGAAGAGTAAAAAGAAAGCTCGCAAGGATAATTGAAGGTAATCTGGATGAAGGATCAAGGATGAAAATTACTTTTCATTTCTGAGAGGAGTAGCATGGGAATCCTGATCAGTCGGAACAGAATTTGTCATTTTGGGCTCATTGGGTGTGTCTTCAGCGACTTACCGATCAACCGGCTGATCAAATTGTTCCTTTCCCTTGTACATAACGCCAATTGGACTAGGTTGATCCATTAATTATGATTTATGGACGCTGCAGGTGCATAAGTGGACGTATGGAGAAAAAATTTTTGTAGATTACTAATTTTTTCACCATACTAATCGTTTGCTTCGATAAAGTCGCCTTGCATTTAGTAAAAAAAGGCATAAGTCATAGTTTTCACTATAAAGTAATATACGTGTTACTCTTTTGAAAAATCTTCGTATATGTCCATAATAATGCATTAGTATTGTATGATTTACAGGTGTATTTATAGTACATATTTATGAAACCTTCACGTTATACTTATATTGTTAAACGATCGTACTTACATCTTTTACATTTCATTTAAAGAAAATATTTTGTTAGGTCACTTTTGGTTTTCTATCCTCACGATTTACATATTGTCCTTATGCTATTACAATTACTTGAAACTATATATCATCTGAACCTTCAAATATTAATTAAACCCTCTGTTCTCTTCAATTGCAATCCAAGTTAATTGCAATTAATCATACACATGGAGAGAGTCGAAAGTTAAAACTTAGAAAGTGTGAAATATATCCCAAAATAATAAAATGCAAGACAATCTCTACACAGGGAAAGTTTGCATTACCGATGTAATTATGTCCTTTTCGATGTACTAACCAAGAGAAATATTTTCTTATACCCGTTAGCCTGTATTTTAATCCGGCATATAGATCTGTAATCATATGCTTTGTAACGATAAACTGTAGATAATATTTTATCATGCGAAATGCACCCGTAATGAGTTTTAAGGGTTGAAAAACGTATATATATTTATAAGAACATGCAAATCTGTGACAAAACTTGTGCCAAGTTGTGAAAAGAGATAAAACAAGGTGCAGCAAAAGTCATGAACACGCATAATTTAAATTTTATCCAAAGAATATATATATTAATATAATTTATATGGTATTCGACCTTAACATAACAATGAACAACCACTTGAAATATTTAATTCATAGCATCAAATAGTTCGATTAATTGTATATTAAGCGTCGTACTAGCTTTCGTTGAAATTAAATTAAACAATTATGGAAAGATCTCATGAATGAATATAATGGATTCATTGTTTTTTTTAAATCTTTTCACAATCTAATCCAATCGTTCACATTTTATGCCATGTATAGATTATAATAAATGGGTGTATTGATTACTTGTTAAAATTTGTTTCTGAAATAATTTTTTAATCGATGTAATAACGATTCTTATATAATCGTTGTTACACGTATATGTTCATAATTATGTACATTGTAATTACTTACAGAAATGTAAGCGTTAAACTCTATAGAAGCAGCAGTGTCTTAAAAGGAGTACTATGTTTCTAGTTTATCTTTTAATATATAAAATTTAAATATTCGAAACTTGTTGGTTTCCGTTTTCGAGAAAAAAGAGGGAGTAAAAAGAAATCTTAGTTTGGAAAATGATAATAATTGCAGATATGTTAAAGTTAATTGCAGTTAATTATAGAATCGAAAATGGGTTTTTTTGTAATTGGGTGTTTTTAGTAATAGTTGCAGACATGTTTATCATAAATAAATTGTGTTGTAAAACGAAGATAAAAAGACACGCTACATGATTTTCTCGATACAATTTATAAACTATTGGCATTGACATGTTAATAGCTGTACAAGTACGGATATAATTAGTAAAGAGAAAAAGAAATGTGGGCTTCGGCGAATGAAATATTGTGATAAGTATATATTACATGTCCGAGGGTTACGTAAAACATTGTAAAATAGTACTATTAAATAATACTATCGTTTATAGGTTCTACTTACAAAAAGAAAATGAAAAAATATCCGCTTAAAATAGCTATTAATATTTTGTACTGTTATCTTTAATCTATTTTCACATCTATTTTCTTTGATATGCTTCTGTTACAAAATACGATATTCAGTCAAGATTAATCATAATAATATCTTATATATTTAATTCTGTAATTGTCTACAGTGAAGAGGCTGCGTTCTCATAGTTCTACCAATTGCTTACAATGACCAAACATAAAAATCGATTACAAAGTACCAAAACTTACACAGTGTAAGCGTTGGAGAAGCGTTATGATCAGTGTTAGAGCGTACAGATGAGATTGCAAAGGAAGTTTGAACATTAAGAAACACATTGTACAATGGCCTTCCTTTCCATTGTGTAATTCTCATTACGCGTACTTAGTGGCAGCTAAGTCAAACTTGAACATACTTGTTGTTCTAAATGATGATACAATGTCGTAATTTAACACTGGTCATAATAGATGTTTATATTGATCGAATAATCGTCGAGGTACTTAAATTAAAAGACAGAATGGAGAAGTCGATGAGCTTGGAAGTGGTGGGAAACTTGTAAGCGTGTTTATAAGAGGATATCATATTTTGAATAAGATTTGTATGCACTCTATTCATCGTCAGTCGAGTAATTGAACATTGGTATATAAATCACTGCTCGTTAATAAAATACAATTCCTAGCTCGTTGATAAAATAGGTTAATTGAACAGGAATAAATGAAAGCATTGATTTCGTAAAATTTAATTCTCTTTGAGACCTTTGGTGACTAGTTGACCGTTTCTGGCTACAAAAATCAAGTTTAATCGTACTAATTACAATAGAAAAGAAGTAGATTACTGCTGTACATATGTATATTAACAATGTTCTTTTAATTAAACATGTATGTGCAATTTTATGGTGTACCTTAAAAGGAAAAGGATAATGAATGACTATGTCTTTATTGATAAGGTTTTAGAGGTATCGTAAATGTCCAACGAAATTGGTATGTTTTCGAGAACTTTTCATTGTAATTTTATGAAACTATTGTTCTCTAATTTGGTGACTCTTCTCGCGTTTAGTTGAAGAAAAATAAAAATATTTTTTGCTGAACAGAGCAGTGTGCGTGCGTGCATGTGTAATCTAAACGAAAACAGAAACCTTAAAACTATAGTGGCCTAACGCTTGCAATATTATTGGAATGATCGTGATACTCCAGGACTTTGATCATAATTAGATGTAGCGTAAACGATACGAGATGCAAATTGTCATAGTTATCAATAGTGTATTTTATTTTCCAAAAGTGTTGTAGCTATCGCAACGATATCTGTATAAATATATTTGTGTAAAACGCGTGTATTTCGGTCACTTGAAATCTTATTAATAGGATCAAATTTAACGTTAAGCCATACCAAGTGAGGTTTAATATAAACAAAACTTTGTTTCAAAGTTTGTTTAAAAAAATATATAATTGGACGGAGAAATATTCTGTTTCCAAAAGGTTGCATCAGATACATTTCCAAATATCTAACGCAAGATAACTTGAGATTAGCGTACGGTGGTAGAACATTTCTCCTTTTACAATGCAAAACAGAGTTGGATAACAAGATAGAAAGAGGGAGATACAGGAACAGGTAAAGGAATAAAAATGATATTTTTCCAGCATTCACTCGCAACCATTTACTGGGCCCATCTGCTACTATCATTATAATGTTTTCGTACGCTAACGCTACAAATTTAGACATTGTACGATGAGGATTATAGTTTCTTTATAGTTATTCGAATAGTAGAATGTCGTTTCGAGGGACCACAGAATATAGACAAATAAAACATGCAAAACTTGGTTTCTTATTTTACTTTTTCATCGAGCATTCCTCCATCTTTTTGATTGTTTATTTCCTGGTTTCACAATAAACGACACGCTGCGTTTAATCTACTCTAACCGTTTATTAATAAATACATTCGAATAACATGATTAACACGTTCATTTTATTCTAATCAGTTATAACACAATTATATTGTTATCGTCCACGTTCCTTAACAAGTTGAATCACATGCTTACATTAACGTTATTAGGAGTCGTTGCATTGTTAACTTGTTACATATTAATTTTCTAATCATTTTCTGTTGGCGCATTTCCACTATTTCCGCAGTCCTTTCTTAGTATATTTGCTACATTTTCTCTTAAATGGTTTAATTGGCTTCGAAACGCAGTTTTTCTGATCGTTGCTGCTTTCCATGTCGTTGCTCATTGACTTGTTTCTGCGAATCAGTAGCCTAGCAGTCTTTCTAGGAGTTCTGCTTTTGCTCTTAATTCTCTTCTTTTTCTTGCGCTTCTTCTTATCATCCATCTTAGCTATTATCGCCTCTGTGTCCGCAGATACTTTGACTTTGGTTTGCTTAGAGGTAACAGTGACTCTTACAAACGAGTCGTAGAGGACATCACCGCAGAATTCACCATAACAAAACTCTTCGCCGCACTCTGTACAAATCTTTACGCTACTTTCGATTATGCCAGCCCGGTTTTTGCTGCGTCTGATGGGGCTTATAGTCGATCGACGTTCTTTGGCTATTGTCTTCGCTTCCAATTTCCCCATCTCCACCTGTACATATTACAGTGTATACAATGTTAAAGCTTTTTCTATTTAGTTTTGAGCTTGTAAATTACCAATCTCGAGAACATTTCTTCATCCTGTCGATGCTTTGGCCTCACAGACGTCAGCATCCTCCAATCTATGGCAACCTGTTGCAATTCTCGAAGATTCAGACCTCTCATATCTGGAGGCACTGGATTCCCATAGTTCCATTCTCTTCCAAGGGCTTTCAGCTCTTTCTTGCTTGGTTTCCAGGAGAATTCTTTGTCGCGCACCTTTGCGTCATCCTTCTTCACCTACAATTGTACAATCATTGTTCAATTACCAGAAGAGTATTAATTTGTTTAGCTTAAGCAAACCTTTTCTGTTTTAATTTTAAATTCAGGGCAGTTCTCAAGGATTCGTCGAAACTCTTCTTGAGAACTGCAGGTTGCCTTGCTCAGATCAGGTAACAAATTAGCATCCTTCTTGTCCTCTTTCAAAAGATCATCTAACTGGAAGGCCATTATTTACACATCTGTAATCGAAGAAAAATGCTCAGGTCTCGCTCCTCCAACTGTTCCCTAATCCCTATCACTAAAATCTAAACGAAAGAAACAAAAACGTGCGCAAGATCGCGATTCTATAGTCTTCTGGTTAAAAGATCCCTGACGCAGCCGGAGAGACCAGGCACCTCTCGGAATCCCACTCTATTTGCTTCATCAGGAGACCCTGAAGAAGAAATTTCAGTTAAGATGAGCTTGATTAAAACTGGCTTGATTAAAGCGTTGCAGGATGCGTACATTTTTCAAGCTGGATAGCTTGGATAGGATCTCTTGTCCGCACCAGACATTCGAGTTCTCGTTCTCTTTATCGTTTCGTTCGCATTTATTGTCTTGAACGTGAATTCTTCCATTCTTGTCGGTTCGCAGAGGTACGATGGAGTTTAAACTGTCCATAGAAAGGTCTGCATCGTAGCTGTCGCCTTTTACTTTTCGTCTGTTGGTTCGAATTTTTGTTTTCATGTTCACCAGCTTCCTTCTGTCAGGAGATGGTGATCTGTTAAGAAAATAGTATCAATATTCTTGTTACTATATTATGAATAGGAAGTATTGAAAGGAAAGTGTTGTTACCTGGATCTTTCATCGCTGGATTCAACTTGGCGTCTTCTCATTCGCATTCTCCTTTGGTAATGAGGATCTTTCTCACTTTGTGTACGATACCTAGTGCCTGGTCTGAAGACAAGTGATAGACACGTGACATTAGATACCATCTACAGTTGTAATGTGTATTAGATACGTTGGGTTTCAAGATGTAAATAAATATTAAGATATTCACCTGTTAGCATTCCACTGTGGTCTGGATTCTATACTTGTTCTAGGCTGAGACTTGGATCGAGGGAAAGTTCTGACATTAATTTCCCCGGTAGACCTTGAAAATTCACGAATACGTTTTGTACATAGTGAGATTTACAACTAAATTCATGATCAGTATAGTTGTAGCTTGGAACTCTTAGTACTGTATACAAGTGTGAGTAAATATACAGCCTCACGTAAAAATGTTAATAACAAAGATAAAACAATGTTGTTTATAAGTGCATTATAAAAAAGCAGGAACGCAAAACGAAATGAAATAATAATTACCGCTTCTATTCGCAAGACAGAATATCCTCTACGATTCCTCAAGTTTTGAAGCGATTCAATGCATCATATTACGACTCACTTTTCAATGTCCCTTTTACTAGCATTCGTGGCGTCCTTGTGGTCCTTTATAGAAACGTCCTTGATCTGCATTTCCTCCTGGAAATCTCCAAGATCGTTTTCTATGTCTGTCTGAGTACCAAAATCTCGACCATTCATAGTTCTGTGCTTGCTAGGCGTGAGCAATCTTTTCTCGTTAATCGAAGTGAAATTCAGGTTCCCCAGATTGTGCACAAAGCTGTTTAATCCTACAGACACGTTAGTCGTGTTACTTTGAAAGTTTGTTGGGCTCGGGGTCAGCACTAGATTCACTAGCTGCAAATTGGCTTTGTTCAACAACTCTGAGTCCTCCAATCTCCCACTCAAGACTATTGCAACGTCTTTACTGATAGGAACTTGGACTGACTTTACATTATTAGTATCTTCTGGTTTCTCTGAGACGTATGTTTCCTTCTGGTTCTCTTCTTTTTCACTCACTGGGTCCTTTATCTCGGTGTTAGTATCAAGTTCGTTATTGAAATTTGCACTCTGGTCGGCCCTGACGCTCGGATAACTTTTGTCAAACTGGCTGCTACTTGATTCACAGTTTCTAGAAGACGTGCTAGTAGTTTCTTCGTCAATCTCTTCGCGTTTATGTCTAGTCTTTTTTTGCTCCTTTGCTAAACGTTCTGCTGCTTCTAGAACCTCTCTCATCGCTTCAGCTTGTCTCAATTTAGCTGCTTCCCTTTCTCTGATTCTCTTCTGTTCTTCCTCGAACCTAATACGAGCATTGTTTATGTTAGACAGCCATGAAGAAAAACACGTTTAAAAGGTTTGTGCAGTTGTACCTTTCTTTTTCTTTTTCTCTCTCGCGTTTGATTCGTTCCTCTTCCAACCGTTCTTCCCTCAATCTCCTCTCCTTTTCCTCTTTCCTTCGTCGATCTTTCTCTTCAAGCTGCTTCTTAATCGCGTTCTGAAGCTCCAAAGCTTTCTGTCTCCTCGCTTCTCTTTCTTGAAGAACGTTTGCATCCACAGGAATGTTTTGACCTCGAAGGTATGTCTTGTTGTCTGAACCAGTTGATCCTATAGTGGAACTGTCCGAACTGCTCGCACTTTCGTGATTAATAACGAGTACCTTGAGTAACAATAAGAATCGAAGGAATACAAGGTCATAATTAAGAAGATTCTACTACAATTCAATTAATGATTCGCTTAGGAAGATAAGGGATCATGTTAAAGGACGTACTTGACTCGAGTGTCCCAATCTCGCCAGCCAGGAAGGTGCTGGTGGATCCCCGCGTGCTGTCTCCTGACCCCAGACGCTCCCCCACCTTGGCCTGTTGAGCTCGCCCATTCTGCTATCAGATAATCGCCTCGAGGATGGCAACGAACTCTCAGGTGTGGTATAGTAAGGATTTTGCCACGTTTTATCCATCATATACCCTGCTGGTGGCTTACAACCAGGTAGAAACGCTGGTATCAAACAAAAGATTGCCGATAACTATCTTAGTTGCTAATATACGTTTGTACAGTAAACATTATTAGTCGAGGTCTACTACTACAAGAGGCAAGACTAAACGTGTACTAATATTCTAATCTCTCACTTCCAGAAGCCGATACTGGCGCGTCCACGGAGTCACTGGCGTAACCAGAAGTCTCTCCCTCTCGTTCTTCACCCTGGGACCCGTAGTTATTGTTCTCCAAGTTTGCATAGTGATCAGAGGACCTACGATCATGTCTTTGAGGTTTCTCTGGCTGGTGACGAAGTCCCGCAACTACAAAGTCTCGTTGCTGGCCCTGGAAGATAGGACAAGTCATTTATGGAAGGAAAATCGCGTGACCAGATCGCTATTCTCTGCTTCTCATCAATCATCATATCCTCGTTCTCCGCAAGGTATATTACAGCGCTTGTGATTACCGTGCCAGGTCGAGAAAGGGGCGACAAACCGTATCAGGCTTTACATAGGTATATTTAGAAGGGGTGAGGGGTGAATGAACTCCGCGATAAGAATCGATTTGCCAGACTGCCTTACTTTTGCTTTTCCCTGAGTGGAATGAGCTACAGTCACGTACAGCTTTAAGCATGGGTTTGAAATGGCAATTAAAGGTCTAGTCAAAGAACTATGTAATAAACTATATATATAAACTATATATATACATCCAAATTGTTTAGTGTAGACGGGCCTGAGATTGATACCGTTGTTGCTTTAACAATTAAAAGTTTAGTTAAACAATTATATAACTAACTATGTACATATGCGTTCAATTATTTATTGCAGATAGACCCAAGAGGTAGTACTCGAAGAATTATGTAATAAACTATATGTATATACATCCAGTTGTTTAATATAGATGGACCTGAGATTGATACTGTTGCTCCTTGCAGTAAATTGGAGGCAGACTCGGGCTCCTGTGCCTGATTTGCGCCACTTCCGGTTGCTCGTGGAGATTTATCAAGCTACCACCATTGTAGTCGAGACACTTTAGGCTTGTGGTACCGTTTGCGGAAGTCTCAGACGCTAGACTTTTCAAGCTGACGGTGCTTCCGTAATGGCCAGCGGCACGGAACGGTTTCGAGGGCGTGTGCTTGTCCTTCGTTTCCGCCAAGGACATTCTTGCATCGCTGGGATAGCTGCTAAAGTTACGTGCTTCGTTATTTATTTACTTACTTATTTATAAATGAGAATACAACAGGTCTCTAAGTAATTATGATGCTAACGATGCTAATTATGATGCATCTATCTCTCATCCTACCAGTTGTATTCTTATTTGTTCATTATATGTATTCATCGAATTTATTCGAATTTATTCATCTAATTCATTCATGTCCTTATTGCAGAATATCGAGGGCGTGGCTACTACAACATCTACTTGGTAGCAAGTTTGGAAAGCTGGTCAAGTATAAAGCAGTTAGAAAATTAAGATTCACAGCTACGATTTTGATTGCATATTTTGCTGCTCACCGAATACTGGTGCGGATATTGGCGTTATTCTTCAAGAGTCCCCAATTGCCACCGAAACGCGCCATTTCTTCTGTGGTATACGTATCAAATATTAATACTCTATTCACTATTAGACATTCAAACGCTACTCATATCTAATTCACATGTTAAGCATATTATTTCACGTTTTATCGATTGTATATATTCATGCAATTTCGCGTATTAAAGCAGTTATGATTTCATGCTTAATTTATTTGATTTAACTGGAATAAGTAGCGCACAAATGATTATAAATTAGAATTAGAATTATAAGTATGATTTGAAGGATTGGAATTAGAATTGTAAATATGATTTCCAAGGGATTGGAATTAGAATTATAAATATGATTTCCAAGGGATTGGATTAGAATTATAAATAGAATTTAAAGTTTTAGAATTTTGAAATTTACCTCTCTCCCGCGCCCATTGTATCCTTTTTTGTTCCACCAGTGATGTTCTTCCAATCATTTTTGGCGCGAAACGCGCAGTTGGCAGCAGTTGAAAGACACAATTAAAAACACGCAAAAAAGAAGAAAAACCTACATCATCCAGCCTCCGTTTAAGCATAACACGTTAATTTTACCTACATTCTGTTTTAGCGGTGATGTTCCAAAGTGTCCCAAATGTTTTCACAACTTCCAACACTAGTGTTAGGTTACATTTAACAGGCTCGAACGTCGGGAGACGATGTCCAGGTTCATCCCAGGTCGTGTCAATATTTGAAACTGCGGTGGACTCGTAAGACCCAGCAAGGTTTTCTCCAGCCCTACACATATATCCATATTAAAGCCAAGGTATAGCGTTAGGTTTCTATGGAAACAATCGTGAATCGACTCGTGCACTGGCTGTCAGGGTCGATAATATTGACCAGACGGGCAAGATAAGGGATAATGACCTCCAACCATTTATTTGACGGTCAGAGATCACATCTTTAACGTAGGAATGCCAATTGTAGATCTATAGTAGCTCAGCTATCATTTTTTCTCTACTACTGACACGATTTACGTATCATTTACATAAGTAACTAATACGAGAAGAATAACATCAGTTGGAAAATTTAGGAAAGAATCGTAGCATCCCCAATATTCGCTTATATTCTCGATAACACTATTCCTTGGATTTCTTAACGATTAATAAATATGCACACAGAAGTTTACCAGTGCAAATTTTAGTTAGTATAGCCCTTTAGGGTTTCGATTGAAACAATTGTTTAATTATGGCGTATTTATGTCGTTAATCGCGTTAATTCTCTAGCGTTATAATTGTTGCATTTAGAAACAAACATAATAAAAGTGTAAAATGTTTGTTTTGAATAGAGCGGGCCATTTTGTAAGGGATAAGTATTAACGATTTATTCGAAAATGGCGCGCTGTTTGAAGCGTCAGTAATGTATCTAACACGATTGTCACCCTCAATCGCTCTAACGAATGATACAAGTATAACAGAATTGAGACCACGAATCGTACCGTTATAATCTAGATATAATAAATCAATGTATCCCAATTAAAAGAAACCTGATACTTTGACTGATTATTAGTGTACCCTAATTAAAAAGAATGGAACTGAAATTGACCAGACCACGTTTCGTATAGCTATGGTACTGCGCGTGGCACGCGCATATGCGAGTAGGAGCAGCTACAACCCCCGCCATATTTCAACTCAATCTTTTCATTTTCTCTTTGTTTCCTCCTTTTTTTTTTTTTTTTATTAATTCGATCGGAATTAATGTTTCTGTTCAACTCTACAGCAAGTAGAGGAACGTATTTATTGTTATTATTAATATGTAAAAGTGGAGATTTGGTTTTCGTACATTTAACAAATCGAACAAAGTGACGAGTCAGATACGGAACGAAAGTATTTACACATGCATATTTAAAAAAACATTTTCTATTATGTTACATGCTTCGTTGATTGTTTCATCCGATAATACTGTTTCCATTCCATTTTGCAATAATTACATGTTTGTTTTATCGTTCGTTACCAATGTATGGAATGTATTACTACGCCAGTGCTGTCATGGAAACAGTTTACAGGGAACTACTTTCGGAAGTTCACTTGTCAATTTGATCTGTCGGATTTACCGGCAAGTTTAAAGCCATAACTATTGTATTTTGTTTGCATTATTTCGTTTACACTTCTCTGAACGGTAGAAATCGAGATTCCCCATCGAACTTGACAGTATTAAAATAGGATAAGTGGTTGTTCTATTATTCGCTTCTTCTAAATTATTGATTGGCTTTGCTCGAACTGACCGCAAAGCGGAATAATCTGTTGCTCGTTGTGTTCGACGATATTCCCCTTTCTAAATGTAAGTACTATTTGATAATTTCAATCATAATTGCATAACAAAAGCTGACAAATGACTGTTTAATCGTACGCTATGCAAAAAGGAAAAATTTCCTTCGAAATACTTGCTTATCATAGTTACCAGGCTGCATTGTAGGTAATGGTATCAATAATCAATAATCGAAAATTATGTTAAAAAATGGACAAGGACTTGTTAGTTTATTCGTATTATCAGACAAATATTAGTTGTTCAAATAGGGATCATAATTAATAATGGTTGACCACTTTTATTTTCACTTGAATATCAATTTTACCATTTCTATGAGTATACTTTTGATAAATTGTGTATTTCTATAAAAATCTCAAATATCACAGTAAATATACCTTAGTAAGTTATGTGTCATATATTTTACAATATTTAAAGCATAATCCTAGTATATTCATAATATCTGTAATGTATTTAGGTTTAATCGAGATAGAGAGCACAGCAGAGGCCGCCGTGGAGGGATAGGTCGTGGCAGCAGTAGAGGAGGCAGTGATAATGCTCATGGAAACAGCATTAACAGGTTTGGCAGTCGAGGCAGAGGCACTAGCAACAATCTTCGTGGCGGTATGAAGGCCAAACAGCCTGGTGGAACACTCAGGAAGCTCAACTGGGACATAAGATCCTTGGAACCCTTACGCAAAGATTTCTATGTTGAACACCCTGCAGTCAGAAACAGGTGAACACTTTTAAAACTGCATATTCTAATAAAACTTAACTTTCAACATGTTTTACATTAAGCACACTTTTGTATTAGATCCAAAGAAGAAGTGTGCAAGTTTAGAGAGAATGCTGAGATAACTGTGAAAGGTGACAATGTACCTAATCCTATACAGTACTTTGAGGAAGGAAATTTCCCAGCTTACGTGTTGGAAGAAATACAGAAGCAGGGCTATGCTCAGCCTACGGCGATTCAAGCCCAAGGATGGCCTATTGCTCTCAGCGGCAGGGATTTAGTCGCCATCGCTCAAACTGGCTCTGGAAAAACACTTGGAGTGAGATAGATTAATTTCTAGAAGTAACAAATTATGTAAAAAATGTAGCAATGCATAGCACACCCTTTGTAAAATGATACTTCTAATTCCGATTAACTAGAATCCACCATGCGACTAAAAAGTATTAATCATGTTAAGGTGTATATTTATTTCAGTATATTTTACCAGCAATTGTACACATCATACATCAACCACGTCTCAGCAGTGGCGATGGTCCAATTGCTTTAATCTTAGCTCCCACGAGAGAATTAGCTCAACAGATTCAGGAAGTAGCTAATTCTTTTGGGGAAACCGCATCTGTGAGAAACACTTGTATTTTTGGCGGTGCACCTAAAGGACCACAGGCGCACGATTTGGAACGAGGTGTTGAAATATGCATCGCCACACCTGGTAGGCTCATCGATTTCTTGGAAAGAGGAACGACAAACCTACGCAGGTATTAATTCGTATTGCAATCAATTACAATGGGAGATTCAATCTCTTCTGTACTTAAATATTCTATAATTATTTTTTCAGATGCACATACTTGGTATTAGACGAAGCAGACAGGATGTTGGACATGGGCTTCGAGCCTCAGATAAGAAAGATAATCGAACAGATTCGGCCCGACAGACAGGTTCTGATGTGGTCAGCTACATGGCCTAAAGAAGTTCGAGCTCTAGCTGAGGACTTCTTAACGGACTACATGCATCTAAACATTGGCTCACTGACTTTGTCAGCAAATCATAATATCATCCAAATAGTGGACGTCTGTCAGGAGTTCGAGAAGGATTTAAAATTGTACAGGCTGCTCGAAGAGATAGGAAATGAGAAGGAAAACAAAACGATCATCTTTGTGGAGACGAAGAGGAAAGTAGACGATATTACAAGGAACATCAGGAGAGATGGATGGCAAGCGTTGAGCATCCATGGTGATAAGAATCAGCAGGAGAGGGATCACGTATTGCAGGAATTTAAAAGCGGAAGGGCTCCTATTCTAGTAGCGACAGATGTGGCTGCTAGAGGCTTAGGTACATATCATTTTCTCATTCTTAGTATTTAGCTATTCAAAATGGGAATTGGCAACACTTATCGGAATAGCCAGTGATGCGTCATTAATGATAAGACCAGTGGACAGCTATGTACGTGTAGCAATGTGTGATAAATTTGAAATTTCGTATAGCAGGAGTCCTGTAAAGTTTGAATAAATTAGATTAGACTTTCTGTTTATTTTGTGTGCTTTCAACAGGTTTGTATCAATTGAATGTACGATATACGTTAATAGAATTGAATAATCAAAGGGGTTCTAAAGAAATGCACACAAGCTACCAGTAAGACTGTCTGCTTTTCTTTTTCAGAGGCACAGAGTACCCTAAGTGAACGCGGTGTACTGCCAGTATTGGGCAGACACAGTGAATGTTTCATTTTTCTTTGCTTCTTTTATTATTTTATTCATCGTTGCGTCAAGTCTTCGATATTAATATTATATTCTTTAAGAGACATGTTTTCCAATTTTAGTGCTGTGCGCTTAGAAACCAGTTTCAATAGGAGATCGAAGCATTTAATATAGGATTTTAGTTTTTAATAATTTCACTAAAACATTGTAATGTAACCACATGATTTGATTTGATTTGATTTAATCTATAATGTCACATCGTGTTATACATATAAAGTTGAAAACTATTGCAGCTTTAGAATTCTTTCGTTTCACGAAACAAAATTTTTAAGAATTTTCCAGTGCCTCTAATTTTCCAAATTATTCTCTGATAATTAAGAACAATCAATGCATTCAGGCTTAAACCCTAAAATGCTGCCTTTGTCCCAAAACCAGACACCACCGCTGTGTCTGTCTAATCTCTAGGCCACCATTTCTATACGAAACCAACCGAATAGCCCTACTTTAAAAGTAAATGGGGCTGTTCTTCCTGATTTTGCAATGGAATTTCTAAACGAAAGGTGGGTGGTTTTCAAACCTGATTTACAGACATATTTTTAAGCAAAAATGAAAATATGAGGATATTCTAACACCTTATTTGAAAAGTTTTGTACGACATACTTCGAAATCTGTCCTTATTCATTATCCTCGAACATTCTGTACAATTAGTTTGCCAAGTTTGAAGATCATTCTATGAGCTCTCGAAGCAATCAGCAACTGCGGTGATGATTGTTACAAATAACATCCAGATAATGAATATTCCTAGCATTTGTATCATCTGAAGATGTTCTGTCGCAGATGTGGACGATGTGAAATATGTGATAAATTTTGATTATCCGTCGTCATCGGAGGACTATATACACAGGATTGGTAGAACTGGACGGAGGAGGCAGACTGGGACAGCTTATGCGTTTTTCACGAGCCATAACATGAAGCACGCGGGGGATTTGATAGAAGTATTGAAGGAGGCAGGACAGAATATAAATCCACGGTTGACTGAGATGGCAGAGTTGGCCAAGTCAGGAAACTTTGGGAGTAGAAGTACGCTCTTTCGTTACTTATAATATTTAATATATTACAATAATTTGATATTCATTCGTTTTTCATAAGGCGGTAAACGATTCATGGGCAGCGATAGAAACAGTGGAAGAAGAGGAAACGACAACAGGGGTAGAGGAGGTTCTTTGAGGGGAAGAGGCAGTCGCGGTGGAAATTCTTATCAATCTGCTTCGAGTAGTTACTCAGGTTCAGATAATTATAGCAATTATAACAACATGAAGCCAAGTAACTCTATTAATCAGAATACAGGATATGGATACAGTACGCAGAGATCGTACGGACAGAATAATTTAGCTCAGAGTTATGGCGGAGGAGACAATTACGGAAATACTTATCAGTACAGGGGGGTGACATACTAAAGTTACATTTATGATATCAGGAAAACTGATTTTTTTTTTATTAACCAGTGTCGATAGTAACATATTTAGTTGAATTTGCGTTAAAAGGAAAATAGATCAAAGTGATTAAACGGTGCACAAAGCATGAACCCTACCAAAGATGTTATGTATTTCTTATATATGATAGAAACAAATATGCTAGTCTAATTATAGTCGAAATAAGATCTATTAAATATATATATATATATATATATATATATTTAAAAGAAATTGCAGAAGCGAAGAAAGTAGAAATGATTGGGAAGGTGTTTAAAATTTGCAGGACATTTGTATGATATAATTTATTGCTGTTTTAGCATCCTTAATTGTAGTATACAGGGTTTAATTACGCGTGTAAAGTAGGACATATGTTTCTCTTGCACGTGCTGTGTTAAATATAAAAAAAAAGAAATTGCAGGAGACAAGGATAAATGTTTTTCGTGACTGTACAGTTATTATTTTCATCTTGAAAGTTAATTAATTTCTGCTAATTATTATCAACGTCGACGAGAAAAATGAATAAGATAATTTGTTTCACATTCAAGTTTCCTTACTGCATAAAATATTTTATTAAAAAATAAGACTAGAACAATATCAGAAGCTTGTAATATTAAATGATGTATTTTGTTACAATTTTGTGTTGGAAATTGTATGAATAAAATTGTCCCCTTTTATCAAACTATCAAATATTTCACCCTTTAATCGCGTAAATTGTAAGGTTATGGATAAATGTATCAAATTTACACTGTAAAAAGTGACAGTAACGCTTTGTTAATTAATTATAAATCATGTATTGTACGAATCTTTCATTTTGCATCAGCTTTTAAATTCAACATTTTATTTCCGTGTTGCATCCCTACTCTGTCGCCATCATTTCCGGCGTTTCACGCATTCCGTGAATTTTATTAATTATTCATGATTAATTTACGAGTGTTGCTGTTACAAAGAATGTAGATAATTTTTAAATATTAATAACTTGTAAATCAGCGACAGAAACAGTAATAATTGTAAAATAATGTAACGGTAACGCGTAACGAGCTACAAGGGACTATTTCTTGGCGTGTCGCGACGCCATATTTATTTCACAGATCCCCTTTGGATCGTGCAACGAGTCCAACGTACTTTCCATCGATTTTACTCATTGGTGCACTGATATTTATCAAAAAACACCTCGTATCCTGCAGCTAGAAGCGCAACACTATCGTTAAAATGTAAGTTGCATGAAATTTGCGATAATACTTGAAAAAGTTTTCAATTTTCATTTTCATACTGACATTTACTGTCTATGTACAGTGAACTGTACTCCATATTGCTTTCATACTAACAAAGTACCTCCCATTCCTTTCAAACAATATCTATAAGTGGAAATAATTAGCTCAAAGTGCACCACATCTATCCTTAATCTCAAAAATATATTTAAATCAGTTATAAATGTAAGACCTATAATTAAAATTGTATTAATTACAAAATTTTAGCCTACAGTGATTAACTTCAACACTCGAACACAACAATTTACTACTTGAATTCCTCCTACAGGGCATACCGTGATCGTGAACGTGGGGACAGAAGAGGCGGTGGAGCACGAGGTGGTGGTGGTGGGCGTTTTGGCACCAGAGACGGAGCGGGTAGATTCGGCAGCAGTTCGACCAGAGACAGTAGTAGCTTTGGGAGCAATAGCTTTAAGAATAGGCAGCCAGGGGAACGTCTCCGCAAACCTCGATGGGACATGAGTACCCTACAACCCTTTAGAAAAGATTTCTACCAACCTCATCCCAACGTAACAACTAGAAGTCCACACATAGTAGAGGCTTATCGTTCAGACAAAGAGATCACTGTAAAGGGCGCAAACTTGCCAGGGCCGAATATATTCTTCGAAGAGGGTGGATTTCCAGATTACGTCTTAAACGAAATTCGCAGGCAAGGATTCGGGGAACCCACTGCGATTCAAGCGCAGGGCTGGCCCATTGCTTTGTCGGGACGCGATATGGTTGGGATTGCCCAAACTGGATCTGGGAAGACGCTAGCATACATTCTACCAGCGATCGTGCACATAAACAATCAGCCTAGGTTGAATAGGAACGACGGACCCATAGCTCTCATTCTAGCGCCAACCAGAGAGCTCGCCCAACAGATCCAGCAGGTTGCTTCGGACTTTGGGGTTTCCTCGCAAGTGAGAAACACTTGCATCTTTGGTGGAGCCCCCAAAGGTCCTCAGGCGCGCGATCTCGAGCGCGGTGTCGAGATTTGTATAGCAACGCCTGGTCGACTGATTGATTTCCTAGAACGAGGGACAACAAACTTACGCAGATGTACATATTTAGTTCTAGACGAAGCGGACAGAATGCTGGACATGGGCTTCGAGCCACAGATTAGGAAAATTGTCGAACAGATTCGTCCCGATCGACAGACTCTAATGTGGTCCGCGACGTGGCCAAAGGAAGTTCGCAATCTCGCAGAGGAGTTTCTGACTGACTATATCCAGATTAACATTGGGTCCCTGCAGCTAGCTGCGAATCATAATATTCTCCAAATTGTCGATGTATGCGAAGAGTACGAGAAGGAGGGTAAACTCATGAAACTCTTGGAAGAGATCTCAAACGAGCCAGAAAATAAGACTATTATTTTTGTGGAGACCAAAAGAAAGGTTGATGATATAACCCGTGCCATTAACAGGTATGGTTGGCAAGCTATTGGTATCCATGGAGACAAAAGTCAACAAGAAAGAGATTACGTACTGAATCGTAAGTATTAATTGAGCTGTTTGGCTTTAAGTTTGCGTTTGTGTATTGTATTGACCACTGGATGTTTTGCAGAGTTCCGGAATAGCAGATCTGCCATTCTAGTGGCTACAGACGTTGCAGCAAGAGGATTAGGTAAGAATCTAGTTACGCACAAGTGGGTATGATGTAAGGGTCAGGCTGCGATGGTTATTTCACATAAGAGTTGTATTATAGCGACGTGGCAACGGATAACGGCATGTGCCAGACTGATTGACACTAGTCCTTTCTTGGTGCAGATGGAAATTATTCGGAGAAACTTATGGGGTGAATTACGTAACTTGATTACCTTGATTATTAGCGTTAAACAATTAAAATTTTCCTTTATTTCAGAGAAGCTAATTCGAGACAAGTACATTGCTTGTGAGTCACTTTGCGTTTGAACACTTTTAAGGGAACCTTCAATTCTTTAAATAGAAACCTATCATTTCGTGTTTCTCTCGTAATAGTTAATTTGGCAAAATAAATATATATAAAAATACGTAATATCATTAGGGTATCGTTTAAAAAACTGAAGGGAATCTTGAAACCCAACATCATAATCTTCGAAAAGAATTTAGCATATAAAAATGTATTACAAATGAAATTGTGTATAATAGAAACAATTGGAATGGATCCATTAACAACAGAAATAGTTGATACGAACATGTTACGTGGTTCATTCTGTATAGAATTATCCATTGATTCTAGTTCCTTAACTTATTTACGATACTTTAATTTACTCTCGTTAGCTCATTACTCGGGGAATTTAACAACATACACAAGTTAATGCTACTGTTCTCATCTTTTCAGCACGACGATATTGAAAGGATGTTTTCGTAATTTAGTTCTGTCGTAGTTTAGGGTAGATTTTGACTTACTTTCAATTCCCAGGAATAGTACGATACTTGTAATGTAACGTTCTGTCAGCAAAGCTTTATCTTTTATAGCAATCAGTTTTGGATTTGAGAAGTAAGTCGAAATATTTCAGAGGCAGAGTTAGATTAGGGTTGCAGGTAAGAGGCTAGGACGATATCTTTTTAAATTTTGCTCTGATTGAGAAAAGTCTTGTCAGTCTGGTATTAACGTGCTGTTCTATGTGTTTTCAGAGGCACATGCGACGGAGTTTTATCAATGATAAGAACTCTGGAGAGCTTGCTTTGGAATGTATAATTGAATGGGGCGTGACTGCTGGTCTCTGTCCCCTCGCAACAAGCTAACCAACGCTGTGCCTCGGCCCGCCGTGCCACTTGAATAAAACACACTCTCTGTACCTGCTACGGTCCAAAGTATGGAAGTCAAAGTGTTAGGGAATCTAGCATAGAAGGACTGCGAAACAGGATAGATATTTCTCAGATTAAAAAGGATAGGGAACCGCACATTACATTGCTTTGCAGTGATTGTGAACTTACGGTTCGATTCGAACGATCAAAAAGTAACGTATCGTCTCTCCATAAGTATCTACGATAGCTAAACCTTAATTTGTAAACTCTCGTCATTGCAAAGCAAGCGATAATGTCACTTATGCGAATGGAATATGCACGTGGGGGTTGATCGGTGAATGCACACGGTGCTCATCCAATGTTCCAACCTCACCGAAGCAATGCGCAAGGAGCAAATTTTCAATGATCTGCACAGATCCATACTTTGGTGCAGGAGAGAAGGGTGTGAAGTTACTATGAGTATATATACATCTCGCTAAACCGTATAAAAGCGAGAATTACCATGAGAACCATCAGAGCTCTGATTCCTCTACATTTCCAAAAATGTATTTACGTTTCCAGCTTTTGGCAAGAACAGGTAATTAACATAGAAACTTGCTCTTTGTGGTCGACTTCTCTGCGTGTATGAAAACTGTAGATGGAATCAGAAGCACGACTTTCAATACTTGAGCACACAGTACATCCAATTTATTCTAATTTGAAACTGTAAACATACGAGCTAGTTCCTCGATTCCATCTATGATACACGTTTTGCAATAATCTGTCGATGCTTTAACGAATTCGCTTTCTAAGTTAATCGAACCACAAAGGCACGAGTGCTTTTCCCTTTCGATGATTACAATTTACTACGTTGCGCAGATGTGGAGGATGTTAAGTTTGTGATAAATTTGGACTACCCCTCCAATTCTGAGGACTATGTACACCGTATCGGGCGTACAGGACGCTCACAGCGTACTGGGACAGCATACGCGTTTTTCACACCCGGTAACGCACACAAGGCCAGTGACTTGATCCAAGTCCTGGAGGAAGCGAAACAAGTTGTGAATCCTAAGCTGTACGAGTTGTCGAGGAATCCTGGCGTCTATAAAAGTGTGTATTTGGTTATCTTTGGGTTCAAGGATTTCTTATTTCTCTGTTTAATGTTGCTGATTATTGTCTTGTTACTCTTGATTCATAGGAGGTCGGTATGGAGGACGCAGTGGGGGTAGTGGACGCGGCTCTGGAGGCCGTGGAGGCGGTTCCAGAGGATCTCGAGGTGGTCGTGATGGGGGAGACAGGGGGGGAAGGTTTGATCGCTCCAGTGGAGACAGAGGAAACAAGTGGAATGGGAATAACAGCAGTATGTTTAAGATAAAAATCTTAAAATCTAAAATCTTCTTCAACAATCCTTAATATGTATTGTTTATTCGTCTAGGTGGTATAGGAGGAAGTAGTTACGGTAGCAAACCGTTTTCCCAAAACAGTTATGGCGGAGCTTCCGGTGGTGGCTCTGGATACAGTCAAAATGGCGGCGGATACGGGGGAGGTGGAAGCAATTATAGACAACAAAATGGCTATTAATTTAAAAATGATTCCAAAAGAGAGTCTTATGTAATATAGAGCATAAAGGAATGATCAAGTGAAATAATTCTATTCGAGAAAGAACATGTTTTCCATACGGTGTGCTTCTTATTGTGACTGAACACTATAATGCACGCGATATTATCATTGATTGAATAAAAAAAAAAAAGAACAAGATAGGAGGTATTATAATTGTAATTCAGTCGATGACACTTATCATTCTCTTCTACGATAAAAATAAATGTAAGTGTAGCTATAGGTAGAATATCGATGTCTTGACTTGCGACCATTTTGTTTCTCTGCAACGCAATTTGAGTTTACAAAACGTGATATGTATACGTGGGACGAGAAAGAAGTTTCCAAAATTGAATATTTATTTCTTAGAGTCGAGGTCGCAAGTCCGCGGTCATCTGTATTAAAACGTACAATGCATTGTACTGTATTAAGTTTAAGAGCGCGCGGAAATCTTCTGGCGCATTGTAGTATTAGAAATATAATAAAACACTACAAGTATGAAAAGTAAATAACGCTACATCAAGTTTTATTCCATGTTTTACTTTCTTTGCGTGGAAAGTAAGTACGCCGATCGTTGGATTTGTAATCAACGAACTTGATGATGCACGTTTAGAATAATTAATCGTTTCGATGTTATATAATTTGCACACTGTATCTATAGGTATCTTCTTCTATAAAGCAGTAGATAATACACGTTGATACGAGAATAATCAGTGCTGCGTTTCGTGGAGGTACATCTTTAGTCTGTGGCATTTATCAGAATTTATTCATTCCAGTATAGTCCTACTACAGTTACATTTCCCGCGATTACTATTGATACAGTTATAGTATTATACTCATTGTAAAATCACTTACCGACTCCTTATGGTATTTAACGTATATAGATGTATCGATGCGTGTATTGAGTGTCTATAATATCGCATGAATATATTTTCTGAACGTTAATCAATCGAAATCGTTGGATCGGAATTCTAGGAACAAATTGATGTCTCAATCGATACGGTGGCAAATCTTGTAGATCTGAAATTGTCTTGATATTTTTATATTGTACAATGTTGTCTAATAAATAATAAAGAATTTCATTCTCATTGCACTAATATATATCGTAGTAATTCTTACAACAGGAGGGTGTCCCGTGCAGCGAACATTTCAAATATGTTGGTCGTAGTTGCTATTAATTATAACTATAAGAAATGATTGATGCATCGTGTCGTTTCAAAACATTTTTTTTTTCAAACGCTGATTTGTTAATACAACGATTAATAAAATTTGCAGTTTAATTATAAGTTGATTAAAGTTGATATTTGAAGTGGCATTCGTTGCACAAAACTGGCAACGACGATGATGTCAATTTTATAAATGAGTTGACACGCTCAAACACGAATCCAATTCACAGAATATGCAACCAGTCCGTCGACCCAGTTAGTAGTTGTTCCTCATTTTTATTAACCAGTTCTGCGAGACTACTCTCGATACAGAGATGCGTCGTTTTCACTTAATAAGTTTATTAAATGACAATCATCGTTTTGGCCGCATTCCCGGACCGCGACTTACTTTACAAAGCGTTAACCGTAATAAGCTACATTGGACCGCGTCTCTGGCTTCGTTACGACCAACTATAAATCAGAACTGCCACTATTTCTAATAGTGCAACTGGGCCAGCGCAATACTATTCGGTGTTATACTTTTTCACGATGTATCATTTTATATGAAGGATACTAGCGAAAATATTAATATATATTAAAATATTGTACATATCGATAATTTATTAAAGAATTATATTTTGTTTTACGTTACAAAAGAAAATATTCCGTGGTCGATTACATTTATAATAGAATTATATTGTTATCAATTAAAAAAAAAAAAGAAACTGAAGTATAAGTAAAATACTGTTGACCCCTGAAAATACTGTCCCCCCGTGGAAATACTGTTTACCCCTGAAAATACTGTTGGACAAAAACGCTGTTTGTTATTGAAATGTCTAATGTAATTCTAATATAATTGTTTAAATTTTTAATTAATGCAAGCTGGAATAAACTTGAAGTTTCAGATGCTAATAATAATAAAAAAATAAGAAAGTAAAATAAATTCTCGACTCGATAAACATACATCCCGAGAATTGAATCAACCATTATTTTGCGTAAATTATCAGATAACCTTAAAACTGTGTTGTACGTATTTAGAACGTTCCTCTGTTTTAACGCGAAAAATTTGTCAACTTTTGACGATATGGTGAAAAACATCGGCCAAGCTTACACTCAACCGCGTAAAGTAACGAACGCGAGACATTTAATCGATTAGGTTTTGTGTGCAACGACGGAAAATGTCGAACTGTGTCAAGAGGGAAACCAGGAAATGTCATCGATGTAAAAACATACATCGAAAGAAAGGGATATAGATGAAAGAGGAGGGATGGAGACGAAGCCTCCAGGCAGTGGGAGTGCATCTAGAATCGTAAAACGGAGGATGATGACCTCCCCTGAGTTGCAAAGCATCTGCTAAATAGATGATACGCCGGTTGTCGTAAGTCTAGTCGCCCTCAGCTTCCAGACGAAGCCGAGCTGGCTCTAGGATTGCATTGCTGGCTTTTCGTAGTCTTCCACTTCCTCATGGGGCCCAGGGCCCTCCTGCTGGCCGCGTCCCTCGTCGTGGTTCAGCTTCTTCTGCCACAGGTTCATTCCGTCAGGACTAAACTCAGGAAACAGCGATCGAAACCGCTGCAGGCTCAACAACCCGCCAACGGCGATTACGACTACGACTACTACGGCTACGATGATTACGAAGACAAAAATGGTGAGTGTTAAACTGCTAAAGAACCTGCTGAACAAGAATTAAACCGTCGAGGGAAAATGAATGGGTAGGGGAGGTCAATTTTCTGTTTTTAAATAAATTGTAATCGCAGAGATATTGTAGACGGGTGCGCGTTCAGTTTTAGGGGGATCACCCCTTTCGATAGGCAGCCGTGTTTGCATGCCTGCGCAACTTCCAGAGGGTGTCGAGGGGCTTCGCGCGAAAACCATGTAGCTACAGGGAGCGACAATTTCTCGTTTATTTATTTCAACTTTCCTATCTTCTTTCCTATTCTCTTGTATTTATTTCAACGTTCTACAACGTTCCGCAGTTTGAACAACACACATTCGGTATAGTTTTAGTTTCAGTCACCCTTTCGGTATGCAACCCTCCTTGCATCTCTGCTCAACTTTCCGAGGATATCAAAAGGGGTTTCCTCCGCAGTCGTATGGCTACTTTCTTATATTTATTTCTTAGCATCTATTTGAACTTTCTGCATTTTCAATAAACGCGACTGGTAGAGTTCGTACGTCCTAGAATAGAGGAATGTTGAACTTTTCTTCTTGCTCTATTATTCGTTGTCTGTTATTATTGGGCAATTTGATCCAATTCCAACCAACCATGGGTTAGCATGGAAACCAGATTCTAGTCCATATTATAGTTGAAATGTGCAATTGTGGGGTGGCAGTTAAACACGATGTGGGACGTCGAAGTGTCGCCCATAGTTCGAGTACTCGAATAGGAACACGTGTGCGACATGTGTTGATAAGTTAATTATAGAGCATTCGAGTTATTAATGTTACGTATTGTATGATATAATACCGTGTTAACATGTAATAGCGAGTATTATAAATTCTTGTAACTTTTGCGTGTTGTTATTATTATTATTATTATTATTATTAATCGATGAACGAATCATGGAACATCGGAGATAGTATTATATTACATATGAAAGTCTATCGATAATATGTTCGGAACAAAGGAGAAACGGAATTGTCACATTGATTCTTCCTTACATTTGTTGCATTAAATAATGAGCGATCAAAGGAAGTATTAATAACCCAGGCGACATCGGAAGTCTCGAATCGGATGTTCCAATTAGCACTTGGTATGATGCAATTAATCAATTGTATTAATTGATAAAAACTAAGGTTTTTATTGTAGCCTATTAGCTGATACGCGGTGCGCTTTCCGGTTGTATTAATTCCAGTAGATTGAGTAGATTCTAATGTCGCGTTCCAACGATCCACAGCGAGACAGAGCATTACAACTACTATTATCGTTTCATCGAACAGGATATTATCAGAATTTCAATGGATAATTCGAAATAGTAGAACAATATCCGTGCAATATCTAGCGCGTAGTCCCTTGAAGGTGGTGGTACTTTTAAAAGACCTATAAAAAAGAATAGTTTAAAAGGGCTAACATTTTTAGGGAATAATTTTGTTAACTCTCCAGTGTCTGTCTACCTGTTGTTCAATTTTCGTTTAAAACTCTATCCCACTGTGAAATAATGATATCTTATAATACAGGGTGTCCCAAAAGTCGGGGAAGAGCCGGAAATGGGGGGTAGCTGAGACGGTTCTGAACAAGAATTTCCTTTGCAAAAATGTCGGATGGGGCTTCGTTAAGGAGATATTAAGAGATAACCCCGACCAATCAGAGCGCGAGGATGCCGATGCAGCGCTCGCGATAGCCAATGAGCGCGGCCGCCTAGCGCGTAGCCTTCGCTACCGCGACCGCTCGAACGGTCTACGCGCGCTCTGATTGGTCGGGGTTTTCTCTTAATATCTCCTCAACGAAGTCTCGTACAACATTTTTGCAAAGGAAATTGTTGTTCAGAATCGCCTCAGCTACCCCCCATTTCCGGCTCCTCCCCGACTTTTCGGACACCCTGTATATTCGTCGTCGCATTTTTGTGTTTAGAAACAGCAACCATAACTACCTCGTTGCCTGTAACATCATCTGTCGTTGGTAGCACAGGTAAGTTATCTTAAGAAGGTCTACGGTCCACAAAAGAATTCACTGAAACATCGAGTATTCCTTAAACTTCGATTACTGCACGTTCATTAATTCGGTATAATAACAATACTTTGCGACACGATGCTACATTGCAAAGTAATTATAGGACCAAAGTGAAGCTACCGTAATTATTATTATATATATAAATAATTGTTAAACACTGTGTAAAGACAGAGGTGAGTCGCCTGCGGAAGGATCAGGATCATTTTATAGGACAGCATTGGCCACAGACTTGCCAACACCAACGCCAACGCCAACTCGATTCTTTCGTCAAGGTACTTGATTTTATGTTTAATCGGAACACATGTTTATACAGGGTGTCCCAAAAGTCGGGGAGGAGCCGGAAATGGGGGGTAGCTGAGACGATTCTGAACAACAATTTCCTTTGCAAAAATGTCGGATGGGGTTTCCTTAAGGAGATATTAAGCGAAAACCCCGACCAATCAGAGCGCGCGTAGACCGTTGGAGCGGCCGCGGTAGCGAAGGCTACGCGCTAGGTCGATGCTTCGATGCACGTCGAGTCACTTGTTCGCGTGCAAGCGCGGCCGCCAGCGCGTAGCCTTCGCTACCGCGGCCGCTCCAACGGTCTACGCGCGCTCTGATTGGTCGAGGTTTTCGCTTAATATCTCCTTAACGAATCCCCCTCCGACATTTTTGAAAAGGAAATTGTTGTTCAGAATCGTCTCAGCTACCCTCCATTTCCGGCTCCTCCCCGACTTTTGGGACACCCTGTATGTTTATTGCTATAATATCATTAACATACTGACACGATGGTATCGTTGCTTAACGCAGATTTGCCTGATGATCTAAACACCACTCCAGATCGAACCTATCCAGTGAGTATGAAAAATAATAAAAAGTGCAAAGATCACATGTAACAAAAAAATGTGTACGATATTAAATAATATTGCTTTGGTTTTGTCAGTCGCCAACGGAGATCTCACCTGGTGAAAGTAATCAAATAAATTCTGTAGCAGTGCCTGGCCCACGGGTAAATATTTCACTAGAAACTCTATTATTTGAATAATTAGAAGAATCGCTTTTCACAGTATTAATATATCGATCAGGGTGAACCTGGTCGACCTGGCGACGCCGGGCGTCCAGGTGACGCTGGATTTCCTGGACAACCTGGTTCACCTGGATTCCCAGGGCCTCCTGGACCACCAGGATCCGTTCCTGACGTAAATATTCATCAAACAGTTTATCGATAAAGATAGTCTATAGAAGAGTGAATGAATGATTATTAATATTAATGATTATTAACAGGTGTCGATGTACTAT